GGGTCGCGAGGGCGCGTGGGTCACGATATGGTGTTATTTGCGACCCTGAACGGCCGGCGTGTCTACGCCGCGCAGTCCCGGCGCCCCGCCACCATCTCCGCGGCCGCAGCCTGGCCCGGCCCTCCCCGACTGCGCGAGCGCGACACCGGGGGCCTTTTACGACAGTTCGGAAAGCAAGCGCGCCGGACCTACACGCCCTCTCACGTCGGTCTGTCTGCGCGTGCGCGGACCTGCGGCTACGGGACCCGCCCCCCGCCGTGTCCCAGCCTTTTCCCCTTTGCACTGGCTCTCGCCGACTGTTGGCCCCGATGAGCGCTGTTAAAAATAAGCTGGTTGGGTTCATTTTCTTCGGCGATTTCGGACTCAACAACACTTCAACATAATTCTACCCACATCGTGGTTACTTTTTCTCTACTGAAAATTGCAACTACACCTTCTTGACTGCACTTGCATCTCTCTTAAAGCAAAAACATGGGAGTCTTTCCCAGCAAATGATACCTAAACCAGAGATCACATCTCGCTGTTCAAGTGAATTGTTCCCAGAATCAGTTCAAGAGTGTTATTTAATAGCCTGGGGGTTTATACTCAGAAGATTTCTTCATTACCTCACAAAGCAAGATTTCAGTGTTTCTTTGTGTTCCCTACGAGGACAAGATACAAGGACAGAGTGGGTTCTGCAGTCAGACAGACTTTCGGTCAGAGAGCTAATTTAGTACACCTTTTTAACTCTCAGTTTCCTTCTTTTTAAACCAGGATAACTTTATATGCTTTATTAAAAATAGATCTTGTAAGGTTAAATATGACAATTCATATAAAGTTATTATACGCCGCCTTTTCAATAATTCTATTCACTCATGTTCTCCATATTCAGTGAAGAAGATGTTTTTTAAAAAAGAGGGAAAATGAAAGAGCTTTGGTTCTAGATTTCCTAAGTTCCCCTAATTGCTTCTCTTTAAACATAGAATGCCACCTGGACTATTGAGCCCTTGATTTGTTGACTCATGAGGTCTCAAACCTCTATTTCCATCCCTCTCCTTTTCTTCCTAAAGCTTTTGACCTGTATTCTTCAAGGAGGTAGAGACACGTGCCACCTATGGCTCTTGAACACTTGAAATAAAGCACCATTGAGTTTGTATTAGATACATCAACTTTCAGAGCTACGGTCCAAAAATGTGAAAAGCCCAACACTTTTTACTTTTAATTGTATGTTCGAGGAATATTTTTACTTTGTTGGGTTTAACTAATGGATACCAAGATTGTCTGTGGTGTTTTTGCAACAAATGATTCCCAAATC